AGGGGACGGAGAAGGATATATTATTCGATTTAATACATTCCACGCATGTTTAGTGGCTCTGTAAACAGATTTGTAAGAAAATAAATATTAGCAAATATATATTTTATTAAAACAACATTCAGTAATAAGAAAACTAAACATTATACACTTTGAAATAAAAAATATGAAAATTTTGCCGTTTTGAGGGACACTTTGTTTTAATCGGAAGTGTATACACATTTCATTCTTTTCTAATGACGTGTCTGTAAACTTGTCATGCTCCATTTTTGAACTTATAATCGTTTATCTAACATAAGTAAAAACTTATACCATTACGAAAGCCATACTTCCAGCGTAAGCGTGTGTATTTTTTTTCTAAACATTGTTTATTTTAGCAAACCCGCATCACGGTCTAATAAAGATTTTTAGTTTCGTAGTATTCAAAAAAACGCGGCGGAAGATTAACGAGCATGCGTTGTATTGCGTAACATTTTGATTTACATTTTTGATAAAATATTAAATCAAATGTAGAGTTTTCTTATATACAGGGTGTCTCATAATTAATGTCCAATAATTTATCACTTGATTATATAGACAAAAATAAGAATTTGTTTTCAAATTAACATAGGTCAATGCTTCCTAAGGGATCTACGCTCCCTAAATGGGGGCCTCAAAAAATTCATTTTTTAAATATTTTCGGAACCGGTTCAAGGAAAATTATAAATTTTGACACAATTGACGCTTATTAAAAGATCATCATAAAATTTTAGTCGTCGGCTAAAATTTGCCCCTATTTTTTACTTAAAAACGAAAAAAAAATTACGAAATTTTTAAGTTCAGATGCCAACATATGATAGATATTTATTTCCTTTACAAAAGAGGTACTCTTTAGTTCTTTGGATAAAATGCTCCATTACCGAGAAAAACGGATTTAAGCAATTCATTACATTACCTTAATAAAATTCAAAAAATTTGTCTTGAATAGCTAAAATTGGCACATGTACCATTATGAATTTTCATGTCATCATATCAGTATACATTGTAATAAACAACGTGAAAAGTGCTTAGAAAAGTTTGTTATGGGCCGTCCCGAGCAAGGGGGGGGGGGATCGGGTAAAATTTGTTTCAAATTTTTGCATGTTGCATTTGTTGCTATAAAATTTTATTGATCTGAGTTTTCTGTGAAAAAATGGTGATGTTGTTTTGATCTGAATTTGAAAATTTCGGCAAACAAAAAAATTGGGGCAAATTGAGCCGATTAAAATTTTTGAAAAATTTTATGATCTATTTCGACTTTTAAGAGCGTTCATGGTATCAAAATTCATAATTTTCCTTCAACCCGTTTCGAAAATATTAAAAATACATATTTTTTTGAGGCCCTATTTAGGGGGTGTAGCTCCCTTAGGAAACATCTCTCGACCCATGTTTATTTGAAAAAATATTCTTATTTTTCGCAATATAATCAAGTGGTAAATTATTGGACACTAATTTTGAGGCACCCTGTATATGAGAAAACTGTACATTTGATTTAATATTTTATCAAAAATGTTAATTATAATGTTAAGCAATATTAGTACACAACGCACGTTCGTTAATCTGCCGCCAAAAAAGTACGAAATACTGATGCTATACAATCGTTATTAATTAGGCATATAATTAAGCACAGTTACAGTAAAACCAAAAATAACTGTAAAAAAAATCTAACGGGTATAATCAAATAAGACATATTTACAAAATATTTTTAATTAGTAAGTCATCATTTCATTTGTTCACAGCGTATTCCTCCAGTTCCTCCTTGACCTACGTTAATAATAAGTAGGTATTCTGTCATAAAAACATGCCATTTGTTTAAACACATCTAAAAACACTATCGGAGGCATGCCGGCGAGTTGTATCTGTGCACCTTCACTTTCCATATTCCACCGTACCTATTTCATCGTGACGATGCGAGAACGAATAAAATGTGTTGTAAATTGTAAAGTATCTACACAAATCTATCACTTTTTAAACAGAGGCTAATTATAAACATTTCATTTAAAAACTAATAAAACATACGATCAGAAAAATTAAATTGTAAAAAATATTTTTAAGAGACCTTAGAGGAACTCATTTGGCTTGCTTCTCAAGAAAAATGTAATAATAACATTGAAGTATAACAACCCTAGGTTCGATCGAAAAAAAAAATATAAACGTAGTTGTGGCCAAAAATATGTGATCGTCATAAGGAATACCTACGTTGTGTACATATATTTTTTTATTGACCGGAAGGCGCTGGCTACTAACTTTTTTGAGGGGATGTATGGTTTAATTTTATAAAACAAAAGCAGAGTAAATACACCTAACTTTATTATTTACGTACAACAGTCTTCAAATTAAACATGTGACAAGTAGAAAGAACAACAAAAACATTAACAACCATTTAACATAGAATGAGAGTGCCAGGCTCACTTAGAGCTCCTGTGGGGAAAGAGCATGGCAGAGAAACCCGCGATCGTTGCTCTTACTACCCAAATATAAATACAAAACAACCGCTAACCAAAGGCATAAGTTAAGATCCTTTGCTAATGATAAATAAAACACAACTTATTTAATGTGTCACTAAATGTCACCTCACTCGAATCAGACATACACACTTACAAGTAAAACTGAAGAGGTTTGGTGTTAGTTAGCCGGCAGAGCCGGAAGGTACTGGAGTCCAGGCGGGAAGCAATATAGTTGAGATTTCGGAAGATCTGATTTAGCAATTCTTTTTTTGTATTTAATTATTCTTTTTTTCAGATTCGTTCCTCACGGGCGAAAATGTTAGTGAATTCAACAAGGCCCTTATAACAACGTAATCATGATAAAACAAGTTAAATGTGAAACAAAGAAGTTGTTAATGCAATATCTGGGCAGTCACGACAATATATACATATTCTAACATGTAATAAATAATGAGCAATCTCCAATAATAATTGTAACAATTTTACGTTAGAAAAATATACGCCCCTGAGCATAAAACAATGAAGGCTAAACATACACAGAATTATTATCATGAAACATCTATGCTTTTCAAACAACGTAATCATAACAAAAACAAGTTAGATGTGAAACAGAGTCGTTACTGTAATGTCTGGCAGTCACGACAATATATATATTTTAACGTGAAATAAATAATGAGCAATCGTTAATAATGATTATAACAATTTTACTTTAGAAAAATATATGCCCTTGAGCATAAAGCAATGGAAGCTAAACATACAAAGAATTATTATCATGAAACATCTATAACCATTACAATCATAAGATTACATAGAACAATTAACAACAAAGTACTTAAAGACTTACTTACCTGCTAATTATAATGCGGATTAAACACTTAATTTTTCACTACCTACTTCTATATTTTTCACACTACACCGATCGTCTTACTTTTCACTCCGCGCTGTTCTCACTTCTACTACTTATCTTCAACTATTTAGGCTTCCTTCCAGAATTCCCCACCTAAACGTTAGTTTTTGCGCTTTCTTTTACCAACTGTCAATATTACTTTTTCATTATTATACAACACTCATGTAACAGGTGACGTCGAAGTTAGTAAGATAAGTACGGTTTTGCACAACATGATGTCACTCTTCAACAAGCAACAGTAATTACTATTATTACATACAAAATTCTGTATGCAGAATTATGGTTTCTAAAATTATATTGGATCTAATAACTAGTAAAACATACAAAAATCAAATTGTGAAAAATATCTTAAAGAAATCTTAGGGAGGCACTGACTCCCCCGCTTCTAAAAAACCTGCCACTGTGTAGGAAATTTTAATTATCTTATCAGGCTCCATTTTAGTTTAGACAGTCTGAATTCTTTCTTCTCTATAGTAATTTTCTGACCGATTATATTATCTGGACTATCATCAAAATATGTGTATTAAGTACTATAATTTATTTGTGTTTATAGCTCTTTTACTATTAGACTAATTATTGATTGTCAGAATTATAATTTTTTAACGTACTTAACTACTAGTTAACAGTATTCGTAAGAACTCGGAATAACAGTTTTATTATTACGATTATTTTACATGCAAAGCTTAATATTCCCATTTAAACAAGCATTGCCATCACATTCTTTTATATTATCTAAAATCGGCGTAAATACAACTCGCAACATACATTTGAAGTTAGTCCGACTCTAGTTCGGCAAAAAATACCTTAGAACGACAACTGTGACTATCGCCCTCTTTTCGACAGTATCCAAACTATAGAAATGTTAAAATATAAAGGATTTCTTCAATTGTTCGGCATGAAAAGGTGACGGATAATATAAAATATCAGAACATGTACCTTTCCTGTTTTGTCCAATTGATTTATAAAACTACTCAATAATTCTTATTAATTTATGTATAAATAGTATCCTAAAAGCATTCTGCTGGGTGTGGGTATGTTTATAATACCTTACGCGTTTATCTGTATGTTCAACAGTCGTGTAAAGTTCAGAAAACGTAAGATAAAAAGATATGCTTTTTTTTCTTACTTAAAATGTGTTGTCAGTTGTCTCACACCCTGAAGTATGAGTAGTACAGTGAAGAGATATCGGTTCTTACTTGCTTAGATTTTTTAAACAATTGGACAAAAAATTCATTGAAAATTGCGCATAAAAACGCCCCCCTTAATGTTAATAAGGAATTGTATTACATTGCAGAAGTCAACTTTTTCAATGGTTTTTTCAAAACTAATTTGTATTTGACGACTGTAGTTTTTTATTTTGAACTATTGAAGTAGTCCTATTTAAACCCAAATTGAATTTGTGACTAAATTCTAAACAATTTTAATAGTATTTTTAACATCATTAAAAATAAGGTCATTTTACTCTTGCACCATTTTCATATTTTTTAATTCCTGCACACTCTTACATCAAACTTAGAAACAACCAAAATTGTTTACCAAGAAATATTTTTTCCCAAATATTGAGAAATAAAAATGTTTTCTCTATTTTATCCAATTTAACTGTGGACTTACTATAAACATTTATATTTCAGTAATAAAGCCATCGCTGATTATCTGAGTAGTAATGGATATATGGATGCGCTTGAAGCTTTTAAAAAAGAGGCTGATATGCCAGGTGAAGTTGAGAGAAAATTCGGTGGCCTACTAGAGAAAAAATGGACATCCGTTATTAGACTTCAAAAAAAAGTTATGGAACTCGAATCTAAATTAAATGAAGCAGAGAAAGAATATATAGAAGGAGCTCCAACTAGGGGCAAAAGATGTCCATCAGAATGGATACCTAGACCACCCGAGAAATTCTGTTTAACTGGTAAACATTTTAATATTTATCATTAGTATCGTATTTAGTAAATTTAGATCTACCTTTATAATACTAGTGTGCCAAATCAACTCAATTTCAATAAAGAATTCTGTTTTGCTTATTGCCACGATAAAATTGTTATATACCTTCATTTTTACATACTCTGTGGAAGCACAAATATCAGGTTTGGATTTTGACACTTCAGTTAATTCACTTTACAATTTACAGAAAATATCCACATTTCAATAATAGTTATCTAATTTAGTTTATATATTATCATTTTTTTAAACATTAAAATACAAATTAATTATCATGTGTATTCCAAACAAAATGATTCTCTCTAACTTATTAGTAACTGTCGGTTTTTTATTTTGACATGACCACCATACCGTACAGGGTGTTTCATTATCTATGAGTACATACAGCAACAGCAAAGAAGGGCACCTTGGTAATTATGAAAGGGCCTTTTGAAAGGGTCTTGGGTCAAAATTTGTGCCTATCGAACATTCACAAAATCTTATTTTCCAATTTTTTTGTGGCAACTCGCAAAAATATATAGGGTGTTCCATTTAAAATAACGAAGAAGGTGTCGATTTCCGGTATAACCGGAAGTGTTATGACCTTGAAAATATTTTAATTACGTTTCCCCCACTGACTTTGATAAGTTGCCAAATTTTCAAATTTATCAAATAAGTACTTTTCCAGATATCGATCGCGGCGATTCCCGGTGGGATACACTATAATGTTTGTGATACATTTTTTAGTTGTTTTTGCTATCTGCTTTTTTTGGTATTAATAACACAAGACCACAAAAAAAAAATTAGTGGAGAGTTCCTTGAACCAGACCAAGTGGATTATATGTTTTTTGGGTCGCTGAAACCGAATCCGAAACCTGTTTTTCCCCATCACGTCAGCGTTTTTTTTTTCAAACTTCAAAAAATAGCTTGAAACTATGAAACCGAACAATATCAAGCCTTAAACCATATAACCCTATACTCAATAACCTTGAGATCGATAACATATAACTCTAAAACCCATAACCTGAAAATCTATAGTCTCAAATCCCAATAAACTGTAGACACTAGCGGAACAACTCCGTTGCACACCGTCACCGCGTGGAGGTGCCCTGGATGCCGGCACACGGCAAAACTGTCAGTCAGAACTCAAGTCTTAGGTGCAAGTACATTTACTATTGTATTTTAGGGTTGTAGGGTCATGAGGTTTTAGGGTTACAAGTTTGAAGGTGATGGAGTTATAGAGATGTGGTGTCATGTCTACCTCAGTTTTTTTTGTCGCATTCAAGAGTTGTGGGGTACGAGATTTTGGGTTTAAGGGTTATGAGGTTTTGGATTACTGGGGTTATAGGCTGTTGGGGTTATAGGGTTATGGGACTTCAGGGTTATGGGACTTCAGAGTTATGGGGTTTATGGTTATGAAATGATGGATGTATAGAATTATAAAGTTGAAACTCCGATATTGTTATTTTGTGTTTGCAGTTTATTGGGATTTGAGATTTATGAGTTTTGAGGTTATGGATTTTCAGGTTATGGGTTTTAGAGTTATAGGTTATCGATCTCAAGGTTATTGAGTTATGAAAGTATAGGGTTATATGGTTTAACGGTTGATATTGTTGGGTTTCATAGTGCCAAGCTGCTTTTTGAGGTTAGAAAAAAACACTGATGTGATGGAGCAAAACAAGTTTCGAATTCGGTTTCAGCGACCCAAAAAGCATATGATACACTTTGTCGTGGAATATGATCGGAAGTGCCTAATATTTGAGAATTATTGGGAGAATCGGCAACACGGGCTCGCCGCGAAGACGTCGAAGCAGGACTTCGAGCCCCACGTCGAGCGCCATGTCGTGTTCTTTGATCGTTTGGTTGTGTTTGGTCGACATGGTTCCTTGGTGGAGACATCGGGAGTTCTAATCGAGCTCCACGTTGGGCGACATGTCGCGATCTGTGATCCGGGATCCGCGATAGTGACGCACGGAGTTCAAGTGGATCGTCACTAGGGACTCCAGGTCGCAGGATATTCTCTAACGACTGTTGTCTGTGGTGGATATGGCCTACAGACGTGGTGTCTAGGACACGAGCTCGCGGGGGAGATCTCGACGAAGAATGTCGAGCCCCACGTTGAGCGCCGTGTCGGGTTAGACTTTCTAAATAAGGACCACTTAGGCGGTGATCGAATGTTCGGGGGAAATCATGAGAGTGGACGGGCGATGTACCAGAATTGCTTAGATAGAAAGAGCCGGCTATGTCACCTACGACGTAGTCGGCTAAGGGGTTTTCTCTTACCATGGCACCCGAACGAGATGCGCATTGCTCCCGCTGGGTACCATTTCGTGAAAAAGCTGTCTACACTGTATTGCCGTCGCCGACGGCTCCACGTTCCGGAACACCCGATACCGGAGGTAGGCCGCTATCGGGGCCGGACCGCGAACTGTGGTTGGGCTCATGGGATTCACCGGACCCTACCAGTTGGTACGTAGGTATAACCTCGTCCTGAGTATCTGTGGGTGACCCACTTCGTTGTAATTTATGAGTGCTACTCGGCTCCGTGAGTGCGCCGTGAGGGGTGGTCGAGGCGGTATCGATAACTCGCGTAGCAGCGGACCTCAACGCGTACGGCGCTGTGGCTGCGCCGTGCCGCGTACTTCCACGAGCTACCACCTTCGGTCCCTCAGACTCTTCACGCAACATCGAGATAGCGTTAGGGAAGGAGGCCATTTCCTCTTTCACCCGGAGTGTAGGGAGATCTTTCGCCGGCAAACAGGTGTGAGGGCAGTCCGTGTAACCGCTGGTCTCTCCGGTTGGGGACGAGGTCTCGTCCAGCTCAGTCATGATCATATTATCACGATCTGATTTATTATTTGTTGTACCTTCGAGGGCACCAATCCTCGTAGCACTGGATATCGAAGTCGCGTCGCAGGGATACATCTTACCCCGTACGACAATGTCGGAGCAAGCTCTTTTGCTCCGAAAGTCTTGTAGACGTGTGGTAGAAAACACTGACTCTACTATTAAATGTAGGTCTCTCGAGGGGGCCCTGAGAAGTAATGATACTTCTTTAAATTTGGAAGTACGCCGCCGCAATAACGTACGTACTATTGCCTCGTAGGGGTTTGACGAGGAAGATTACCTCGACGAGTGACCGCCTAAAGGTTTGACGAGGAAAGTTGCCTCGGATTTGCAGATCTCGATTGAGTCTGATTTGATAGGACTCGTAGGAGCCTATGTATGTACTCTGTACCGAGGTGCGGGCCTCTCGATGGAGCCGGCACAATCGGAATCAAAGTCTTCGTCGGAGGTTCTCAGCCTCGGATGGTATGCAGGTCTCTGTAGGAGCCTGAAATGTATCGCTGTTCGATGCAGGGGGCGATCGAACAGGATCTTCGCCTCAGGTTGGGCTACCTCGGGTGGTACGCAGGTCTCTGGAGGAGCCTGGGGTATCGCTGTGTCGATGCAGGAGGCTATCGCACAGGATCTTCGTCGGATTTGGTCAGTCTCGGACGGTATCGCAGGTCTCAAATGGATCCTGGAATTTAACCCCGGTTCCAAGCAAGGGGCTATCGAACAGGGTCTTCACCTCAGGCTAGGCTACCTCGGGTGGTATGTCTCGTGAAGCGAGTAGTGGTTGCTAGGCACTATAAATATCCGCATCGAGGAATGGCAGCCTCAACGGGAGCCTCGTAAAGCGAGCCTGTGAGCTTGAGCTCCAAAGTTGTTAAGCTTGATGACAGGGTTTTTTCAATCAAACCGTGGAAGATATGTTAAAAGTATATATTGAACAGAATTAACAGACAATAAAGGTTCACAATTAACATATACAAGTTATTTACCATGAATAAGATTTGTTACACAATCGCTCTGTATCGCTTTCTTGCACCATGTACTCCCACTGTAAGCCTGCAAACGCCGGAAGTTGACGTTCGATCGCGTTCCTCAGATCTCCATATTTTTGGCGGAACGGTCGTGAATTGTCCGCCAAAATTTCCAGTAAAAAGCACCCGTCGTCGCTGTCGACGTCGGATCTCGTTCCCCTCTGGCCTCTCCGGATAGTCGATGTCGGCGTCGGGGATTTTGGAGTTTTTTCCTATTTTCGAAAAACTCTACCCGCGGTCTCGGTTTAGGCTACCGAGCATCGCATACAACCGCCAGAGCGGTGGGACCTTCGGAAGACGGTCCTTTCGGCCCAAAGACGGGGAAATTGGAAACATCGGTGAAATTTTCCCCGTCTTCGTAAAAGGGCCTACGGAGGTCTTAATATTGGATGGATTTTGTTCTACAGTGGATAGGTGATGCACGGCATGAACTAGTGCCGTGGTTGGAGGGTTCGGCCGAGATCGCGCGGACACCTTCGGCGGCAGCTAAGACGTGAAAACCTATTATGGCTTAGCTGGCCGTTAGTAGTCGCTCGATTCGGCTCGAATGTGGATACAATAACCACCTAGGGATACTCTAGTGTGGTTGGAGAGTTCGGCCGAGATCGAATGAGCGAAACGGCTAAAAACACGGAAAACGTAAAATCCGCGTTTCCCCGTATAACGGCGTTTTGGCTCATCCGATTTGGACGAAAATTTAGTAAGATAATGCTAGCGACTTGAGGAGTGCTGCATTAAATTTTGACACCGATCGCTCAATAACTTTTCCAGTTATTGGCGATAACGTCCTTGACCATTCTAAAGTGTGGTAAAAATTCAGATAATAGTTTCCAAATATCGCCTCAAAGCGTCCCGGGGTTCGTCTGCAGGTTGCGAGAGTCGCGACAGTGGAGGCTTTTTTTATTTGTCCGGCCGACGGCGATTAGTTTCGCAACCGTGGCGGGTTTTCGGTTTGGATTGGAAAGGTAGGGGAATTTGACTGTTTCGCCTCCTTCCCAATTCAACGGTATCCGGCATATCCGTAGGTACAAGACAACTTCTATGAATATACTGGGTGTTCTGAAATCCTTAAGCTCGCTCGAAGGGTGGAATACGACAACTTTGTCTGGTTCAAGGAACCCTC